ATGGCGAGGGCTGCATGGCGGCGACCTCATCTAGTGCCACTGAGCTGTAGAGTTAAGCATGGTTACAATAGCATGCTTTATATTATGCGACGTTCACCGCCATAAAAAAACATTTAAAAAAAGAAAAAGTAAAACCAATATCATGCTTCAGGGTCTAAGCAGAGTTTTCTGGAACTTCCATGCCAAATGCTTATCCATCTACCCCCTGACCTTCACCGCCTCTTAACCTAAGGCCCATGAGGAATATTAAAAGCCCTGCATGATCTCCGTCTTCAAAACACGCGAGTCCAAGCTCTGGGGCCAAGTGGAGTGGAGATCTCTCACACGGGCTCTCCTGACACCGGACTTTGGTGAGAGTGACAGGCGCCGGCAGCTGGGGCTGAGCGACGCCAGCACGTGGGCCTATTTTGGGGCCGATGCGAGTCTGATGTTTTCCATTCAGCCGCAAGACCTCTGTTGGCTTCAGTGGACCGTGTATTTGTGAACCAATTTTAGGAGCCGCTGCTCTGTCCTTCCCTGTGGAAGGAGGTGTCAGTGTTCTGAGACCTCATAGCCCTGATGAACCTGGAGACCTGATATTTTCCGGTGGGTTTAAATCGGAAAGCGCTCAGGTCCTTAAAAGGTTCAGCTGGAAGATCCTTTTTTCTGTGTCTTGAAAGCTCTAATAAAGAGAACCGAAATACAGCATGTGACCTGTGAATTGAGCCGAAACACAGGAACTTTTGCCAAAGTTCTCGCTCATTCATTCCCTTAAAACAACCTGGGAAGAAAGTGAGAAAAATTGTCCAGATCTAATGATCACTGAACAGATAAGGGCATCACAGATTGATTTTGTAAATGACTCAAAAAAAAAAAAAAGGCTGAGGTTTTCAACCAACCACTAAACTGCTGGAAAAACGTGTGCCCTTACTGAGTATCCACAGAATAACTGACAGGTATTTGAGAAACACGGTTGTGGTCTTTTGACCTCCCACATTATACAGGGGTATTTTCTGGAACCTTCCCTTATGACAGGTCCATGAAAATGACACAGCTTTGTTCAAAGGACACATGGCGCTGGACTCTTCTGCAGAAACACCCCCACCCCATTAAGTTAAGTTAGAGGTGGTATTTGAAAAATAAATAAATATCAGAGTTCCAACTCACTGCAAATGGTACAGGAGGCCAGTAAGTGGGGAGCCTGCAAGAGAAGGACTTCTTTTAGAAAGATGTTTTACAGGACTTTTTCTGCATCATTAACTCCTCTGGAATCCTGAATATAACATGATGAATTTCCCCAAAAAGTAGCTACTGTTTAATTTTGAATCACTTCAAAGAGCCACAGTAGAAAGAATCAAAGTAAACCAAAAAGATTCCAAATTCGCCAAGGGGAAAGGAAAAAAAAAACAACAAAAACCAAGAAGGTTCTAACAGATTTGACCATGTACTGAAAATAACACTGATTATTTTACTAATACAGTGTTTTACTGTTCTGTGAGACTGAAATAAGTCTCTGTATTCATCAGGACACAGGATATTTTTATTACAATATTTGTGTCAGAGTCTTTGAAAAAGAAACATATTTCAAACTTTGAAAAGAATCTCTGTCTTAAAATGGCCCTTGATGTGTACCTGTGTATGTTTTACTATAAACAGATATTTAAATGGAAGTCATGTTAATGAAAGGAGTAAAAAGATACTGATAACCTTACTCCAATCCCCAATGTGCAGTTTTGGAAAAAAAAGAATGTAACTTTAAAAAAAGCAAAGCAATTTGGAGGGTGGGGAAAAGTAATAAAGCTGGGATAATACAATAGTTGTCTAACTTTAAAAATAATAATGATAATAATAATTGGTCTTTAAAAACGTCTTTGGTATAAAACCTGCCCAGGGGAAAAAGAAAGAAAGCCTCCTAAAAATTCTATATTCCCAAATACCAAGAGATCAAAAACCATCTGGAAAATGTCAGATAATGGTATCCACCCACCTAAGAAAGTCAGTAAACTTTGTCTTCAATTACTGTTTAGGATAATCAGCTCAAATGGAAATTTTGATTCGAAAATGCTCAGAAGACAAAGCTGGATTAGGAACCAGATTTTAAAAGTCTCCTTGAAAGACCATCTGTTTACAGACACCCTTCTCACACCCCACCTCGCCCTTGATTTGGACCATAAGTTCACAGCAGAAGCACCGCTAAATTTAAAGACACACACACACTGCTACTATGAAGTCCAGTTCCCACATATATGTTCTGAGCTTGTCTCGTTTCCCCCATTATGTAAGCACTCTGGGGCAATAAAACTTCACTTATATCCAGCAGTTTGCAAGTCTCAAAACATCAGTCTACCTGACTGTACAATTCTTTTATTGGCAATCGACAGCACTGGTGTTTTATTTAAGTTGATCACATAGTCGATGCTATATGGAATAACCATTTAGTAGCCTATTAGCCTGTAACATTTTTATTACTGTTGTTAAATATCATTACCCATACTGAACTGTGCAATAGAAAAATCAAGTCGGAAAATCTAAATACTCAGAACTACAGAGCTGTTACTCACCACCCCCCACCCCCTGCCCCAACACACCCACTTAATCTGTAGATTCTGATGAGAAGAAAGAAAAACAATGAGTTTTCACTTCTCACAGATAGAGGTCACTAATGGCCTGGATTTGAATCGCTGTGGCAGAAACCACAAAGTTATTAAAGTAATCTAGTGAAAAATGAACTTGAATAGAAATTAAAGATACCGAAAGACGGTTATCCAGAAAGGTCTGACCTGAATGGAAATGAAATTACATCACCTTGACCTTTGTTGCATCTTCTAAGCAGAGCAAAACCAAAAGAGAGGCGCAGGCACCCTCTCTGTTTTTTAACTTCAGAAACTGGGGACCGTGGAAGTGCCAATTCTTCCTTGCAGAGCACAGAACTGAAGAGTCAGGAAGAGGAGCTGCTCACACCCGGTCTCTACAGAATAAGGCTTCTGCACTTCTACCTGCTTAAGCCGTGCTTGAAACCAAGCTTCAGACTTGGAAGATATAAGGTTGCTTTCGGGAGATGTGTCTAAACCCTAAATCAAACTCTCCAGCAGGCCAGAATATAAATGTAACGGGTATCAGAGGAGGTTCAAATTAGATCCAGGCGGTCAAAGGCAAACCCGGATAAGATCGTAGTATCTGAAAACCAGCATACAGGAACAGCCATGCCTTTTTGGGGGAACCTGAGGCAGCCCAGCATGGTATCATTTGGAAATCTACTTTCTTTTGTTAAAAGCTTCCCCTGGAATTTCTAAAACTGCAATGAAGCTACTGAAGTGTTAAGACACAGGCATCTTTTTAAAAAAAAAAAAAAACAGCATTCCTTCCATGCCAGGTTTGTAATAGGTCTGCTACAGTGCAGATAGCTCAATTCTTTTTCCAATTTCTTGTACCTACTGCCATGAGACATGGAGTGATGTTTGAAAATGCATTTTCCAACCTCCTCCAGTCACAGACACTTGCAATTGAACGTGACAGTACGGTGTTGCACGGTCACCCATGTGATTATTAATAATCCCAAAATGGTTTAACCCTCTCCCGCACTTCTGCTGTGGGGCTTCCGACGAGGGGAGGGAGAGAAGTTGTACTGGGGGACTAGTGACGTTGTAGGCGAACAAGCAACTTTTCATGGCATGCCTGAAAGACTCTTTAGTCAAAGACTGATTCTCATCTAATATGGTGGCCTGCCAATCCTATGTATCTGGCATGTTGCTCAGTGATAAAAAAAAAAAAATGTCCAGTATCCTTCAGATACTAACCTAAAATTGTACATTCATACTGATTCATACTGCAACGACCAAATACATCCCCAGACACATGCCAACCTGCATTCTATCTACCTCAAAATGTTCGGGGGGGGGGTCATCTTTTCGCTGGAGATATAATAAGGTCATACAGCTGAAGTCCATAGACAATATCGGCGGGAGAAGGAAGGTCGCCATCATATTAGCTTTTGACTGGGAGAAGTTAGTCATAATAAATTTAGCAAGAAGCCTGTGAGCCAGTGGACATGCCCCAAAGCTCCCTGACCCTGGGTGATTAAAGAGTCTCCCAGCTGAGTAGGGAGCAACAGCTCCCATTTAGAAGAGGCTTTGCATACCAAATGCAGCATGTAAAGAAATCTAATCAGCACCTTGCACTTCTGCGCGAGCATTTACACGGATTTGTGCCTTGCACTTGATTAGCTTACTGGAAGCTTTACAAGAGATTCCCTCCACTAAAATTAATCAAGAGGTCTCGGAGACTGATTTCCTTCTCTTGTAAATGGAAGGAGTTTTCCAGGTGAATAAATAAGGATCACACTAAAGATGATGGAGCAGCAAACGCCGAGATGCTTGGAAACTGGAAACTCTACTAGGGGGAAAGACGTCGGGGAGTTGGGGCTGGACCCTTTTTGCTCTCAGGGTGAGACGCAGGAGCTATTTGACGGGCATGAGAGGTTGCTGCTCAGGAAACGTGAGTCCGCTGCCCGCGGCTTGGAGCACACACACGACCACTCACTACCCCCCCTCCCACCTCCCCACGCCACTGTGCATCAGGCCACCGAGGAAAACCGGCCTCTCCGCAACGCCGCTGACCCTCTACACGCACTCACACACCCAGGCAGACAGACGATCCCCGCACATCCACACTACCAACGGTTAGCGTGGTTCCTCTCACCGTCCTTCAATCAAAATGAGAGTTCCAAAGTTCCTATTTTATGACACCAGAAGGTGAATGGAAGGAGGGAGGCAGGGCTCCGGGGATGCGAAAGGGTGAAAAATACATGCTCCCTTTGCTTCGTATTGTCGCACCTCGCCCCCTCCCTGCCAAGTAGCTTTCTGGCAGAAGCTCAACGGGGCAGGCGACTGAGGATGGGCTCGTATCGTTTTTGAAAGATACTAAATTGGGGTGAGAGAGTAGGAGGGCGAGGATGGGACTGGGTGAAATCTACGCAGCATTTCCTTGGACTGGAGAATACTAAAAGCCATTGAAGAAAGATTCTAACTGTCCTCTGGGCTCCAAAAGGAGGCACCAGCTGGGGCCGAGGGCTCCCACCCGTCCTCGGGGGAGGCTGGCCTCCCAGCGCAGCTGCCCACCCGGCGCGAAGAAGCGCCGGAGATCTCGCCCATGTTCCAGGAGACCTCCCCGCGCTGGGTGCCCACTCCCGGGGATCTCGAACTTCGCCTGGATCCGACTTGCCGCCAGATCCGGCGAGCGTCTGAAAAGGCGCTGGGGGAGGGAGCGGGAGCCCCGCGGACCCGCACGGAAGGAGAGGGTAGGGGGGTGCGCATTACCTGCGAAGGTTTTGGAGGTCTCCTGGCGGCCCCGGTAGAAATCCCGCTCGGCGCCGCGTCCTTCCCCAGATCCAAACTTTTGCTCCGTTCTCCGGGTGGCGGCGGCGGCGGCGACGGCGGCGGCTGCCGGAGCCCGGCCCTGTCGCCCGCAGCGTCGGGGCGCGGGGGTGCGGAGGCCGGAGCCTCGGAGCGGCGCGCGCCTCCCCGCAACCCGCGGGCGCCCGGGCGCCCGGCTCGCCTGGCTCGCTCTCGCCTTCCTCCCCTACGGAGCCGCTGCATCGTCTCCCCGCGGCCGCCTCCGCCACCTCCGCCTCCAGGGCTCGGGCATGCCACTTTCCTCTGGGCTCCGGCCGCCGCGGCCCCCGCCTCCTCTCCCCGCCTGCAGCCTCCCCTCTCCGCCTCCGCCGAGCCCACGCGCCCCGCAAGCAGGCGGGGGAGCGGGGGACCGCGGCGGAGAGCAGCCCCGCAGCTCCTGGGGCTCCCCGGAGGTGGAGGAGCCCGGGGGAGGGCAGCCGGAGAGCCGGGCGGGAGGGCGGGCGCGCCTCCGACGCCGGGGAGCCGATCGCGCCGAGCCGAGCGCGGGGCGCAGCGCTGGGCGCGCGAGGCGCTGAGTGCGGCGGCGGCTCAGACCCGACTGCCGCCTGGGCACAGCCCGGCCGGGCTAATGTAGGCGCCGCGGCGCCCACCCCCAGCCCTCCGAACACCCCCAGGAGGTGTTTACTGGAAGGAATTCGAGGGATCGCCTCCGCCGCTGCCGCGCTCCTCCTCTGCCTCGGTCCCCGGCGCTCTGGCGCGCTCCCCTCCTCGAGTCCTCTTTCTCTCCCTCCCTCCCTCCCCTCCGCCCTCCCTCTCGGAGTCCCTCCCACATTTCTGGTTTAAAGAATGCTCGGGAGGCGCGGCTGCAACCCCAAGCTTTCCAAGAGGCAAAGTCTGCCGCGGCCGTTAACCCTGTCCTCCCTGGAGCGCGTGGCCGCGGCGAGCGCCAGGGCCAACCTCGCGGGTGCCGCCCGGACGGCGCCCGCCCTCCCGACTCACTCTCTCCGCTGCACCCTCCCAGCCCAGCTCTGAAGAATGTGGCCACCGTCGGAACAGCCGAAAGTTGATAACCCCCCCTTGCCCGCCCGGCGTGGTCCTTGACCAGCTGATCTAGGATTTAGACGCTGAGGAATGATCGAAACGGGAGATTAGAGGGTAATCTTTCAACCAAGATGGCGTAATTTCAAATGCAGGCAACCTTGGTGAGTTGCCCCCTACCCCACCCCTAGTTCCCTGATCCCGAATCTTGTTAAATAATTCAACCGGGAAATAATCCAAAAGTTTAATATAATTAATTCAAACACCCCCATTTTCTCCTTGCACCCTGGCCGCTGGAAAGAGCTCGTTCATTTGCCCCACAGATGACAAGGAACGACCACTTTCAGACGCATCATTTAGGAAACAGGTTTGACAGCGGGGGGGGGGGGGGGAAGCTTGATTTGCATACAGGCTCTGCTTCCACTCGGCGATCTCTTTGCAAAGGTTAAAGAGGAACGTAAGAAAACCAGGTCCACGTCTCTCTTGGAAAAGGGGGGGGGCGGGGGAAGCTTCTGCTTCTCTCCTCTCACTTCATTACGGTTCCTCCTGCCTCCAGTAAGTTGCTGTCATGTTTTAACAAGTCTGGAGAGACGCTCAGGCTGAACAGAAGAGGGAGAACGAGTTCGCGCCAGGCGCGGGGCTGCCCCGAGACGCGCCGTCGGTGGGGCCGGGCGGGAAGCAGCCCGCGAGCTAGAAGGCGGCCTAGGAACATCTCCCGAGGGACCCAGTCGACTATCGCAGCAGAAGAGTTAGGCGGGGGCGGTGACCGTCGCCAACCCGGGTTTGATTTCCCCGTCCTCGGTTCGGAGTCTAAGTCACTTGGCACCACTTTCCTAAGTGTTTTTATTTCTTTCGCATCCCTGTTGTGTCTACCGCCTTCACGTTTTGTGAGCGCCTCCATGGAGTTAGGCAGACTTGGAGGAAGGCCCAAAGTGCCTCCCAAGCACAAGTCGCGCCGAGATCCACCCAGACGCATGCTCGAGACGCACGCTGGCACACGCGCTCACACACACACACGCACACACGACCGTGGGTCGTGCCCGCGGGCCGCTGCTCCCGCGTGGCCTTCTGAGAAGGTGGCCCAGGAAAATGCGTTTGCCTTACAGATGACAAAGCCGCCCTTCTCCCCTAAACTCAGCATGTGATTCATACACATCCCGGGTTGGGGGTTGGCTGGGGCAGTTAAGAGGACCAAGGCTGACAGTGAGTGCCATCTTGCTGGAAGGTGCCAGCATCAGAGCCCCGGGGACCACCGCAGCGGTGGCCTCCTCCTCCACCCGCCGCCGGCCGGAGCCCCAGGCGCTCCGGGAGTTTACCCGGCATCAAGTGTGGGTTCAGCCCGCCCTGGCGCCCTCTCTGGATACTTCCTTTCCCTGGTTAGCGCCCCGACCTCAACCGGCAACCTTGATCTTGGGCCTGATTACAAATGAGAAGTGACCGCGCCGGCGCTGAAAGCGCGGGGACAAGCCCTAGACCGATCGGCGTGGCGGAGGAGGCATCTTTCCAGGCTGGGGCGCGGTGGCAGCTGGCGAGGCTCCACTCGCGAGCTCCTAGCTGTCCGCCTCGCCTCTCAACCCAGTGCTGGGAGGCGTTAACCGCCCCCCTCCCCGCGCCCCGCGCCCCCGGAGTCGGGAACGCAATCCCAGTTCAGCCTGGCGGGCTCCTGCCGCCTTCCGCCGTCAGGCGCGCTGGAGGGAACTCAGTGCCAGACCGCTGAAGTCCAGCACGGCTGGAGAAAGACTTTGGGTTTGGGGGATGGCGGGGGGAGCAACTTCTGGCCCAACTAAAAGGAAAAGGAACCAGCAACCTCCGAATCTCGCTAGCCGCTCATGGATCCCCGGTTGCGGGCAGGGGAGAAGCTAGTGGTTTTAGATGCAACCGCTTGATGGTAACGCCGGTGACAGAACCAGCAGATGGAGCGTGCGCAGGGGTGGGGGCCTAGAGGAGCGTTGCTCTCTCAGAAGTTAGCATTCATCCCGGAGAAATGAGAGGTTGGGTTCAGGCAAGCTTAGTGGATCCAGAAACCCTAATTTAGGATCGATGCTCCGGGGGGACTAGCGCACTTGCGTCTTGACCCAGAGCACAGTTAAAAAACTCCTTAGAGGAGGGAGGTTCGACCTGCAGCCAGATTTTCCTTCTCTGAAATCGGGAGAGAGTTAAGCAGTCTGTTCTTTCGGTGGATGAAAGATAAAGCCTAAAGCATCCTACCTCGAGGATCACCCCCAGCGGATTAAATAATAGCAATAACAGTCCCCCTTAAGAGACCTAGTGGGGTGCGCGAGCGGCAGCCCCGCCGGTTCTGGCAAAGTCCACCTGGCACCTCAGCCCCTTTACCTGGCGGCCGCGGCTCCTCGCACCGCGCTCATCCGAATCCGACAGGGTCAGGGAGGTGGGAAGGGAAGGAGCTGGCTCCACAGCAGCGAGGCTCCCGGGGCATGGTATTATTTTAGGGGTCGCCGCCAAGGTCCCTCCTGCCCATCGTTGAGAACTGCCAGCCCGATCCCCGGGCTGGGTGGACGCAGCGGCGGGCGCGGAGCTGGCGCGTCTTGGCTCCTGGACCCGCGGGACCGCAGGCCAGAGATGCCCCCGGGGGCGGGGACCGCGCGGCCGCTGGGATGATCTCCGAGCCCCCCGGTTCCTCCGCGGTGAGGCTGGAAGGTGCCACACTCGCAAGCGACGGCGGAGGGTTTCGAACGTACAACTAACTCGCAGGTACCCAGCCGGAGACTGAGAGCCGCCTTCCCTCTCCGCCGCCTCTCCCTCCTCCCGGGTAGGGCGCTAACTTAACCCTGTGTGCGCCCTGCGCTCCTCCCTGGAGAAGCTGTGAGCCACGAGGAAACCGCAGGCGGCGGCTCCCGGGCTGCGAGCTTTGTTCACGTGCGTTTCCAGTGGGCGTGTTCCTGTCTGGGGGCACTCGCGTGGCAGGACGCCAGGGGCAGGCTTCCAGCCCCCTTCTCCGGCATGGGAAGGAGCCCTAGCGTTTCATCCGGACCAGACCCAGCCCTCCCTTGGAATCTAATTTTGTTTGTTTTTTTTTGCCAACAGTTACTAGATTTATTGGAGTTGCCAGCGAAGTTGGGTTTTATTCCTTTTTTTTTTTCTGCCCCCTCCCCCTCCTACTCGGGACCCCCGGATTATTTCCTTTCCTAGACGGTGCTTTGAAGTGTGGAACTCTCTGCTCCTTCTGACTCTGGATTTTTAACTGTTTGGCCTGTGCGAGACGAATTGTAGAAGGCACCCACCCACTCACGCCAAATTGAAACGAAGCCGCAAGGAAAGGGGTCTCCCAGCCACCCAGTGTCCGCAGCAGCCCAGAGACCACAACATATTCAAATAAGATTAAGAGATCGGAAGATGGGGGTGGGATGGGGGTAAGGGATTTTTGAGACCTGAATGGGGAAAGAGGTGAGGGACGAGGGGAGACACAGACAGAGCCCGCGCCTTAGAATGGAATCAACAAGGCAAACACGGAAGAGAATGACGATGCAAAAAATATATGAGTCCCGACATGGAAAGCAGTCAAATTTAAGAACCTGGATTTTAATGCTTATTTCCCCAGTTTCTTTGGAAGCGATAAAAAGAGAGAATATGAGCCTCCGCCTTGGCCACCCAGACGCTTCGCATTTTGTAAACATCTTCCAGTAAGTGCTCCGGACTCCCAAGAAGTTAACTGAAATTGGAGGCGAGGCATCCCGTGAAGGAGGAATGGAAGGTTAGACGAGAGAAAACGGAGGGCGGAGCGCCTCGCTGTCAGCGTCGGCCCCCAAAGGGCCACTCAGAGCGCACACTCAGACGACCCCAACCGACTGCTTCCTTCCCCATCTCCATTTCGAACTAAAGAGAGACCGAGCCTTTAAAAGCCATTCAGAGAAGAACACTTGAATCTTGCCGAACCCGAGTTATTTTAAATAGAGGAAATCCACCGGAGGATAGATGTTCCCAGTTTCTCTCTGCTGCATAAAAGCCGTTTCAGCCGCCTCTCTGAGCCAGGCCAGCCCGCCTCGTCAATGGGAACGCTGTTTCCAGCCCGCTGGGTACAGAATTCCGTTGTAAATCCTTCTAGTTTGCCAAGGTGGCAGCAAAGCATAGGAATAACTCCTCAGGCTGCAGCAACTCGGGAGACCCCAGTTTAGGACGAATATTCATCTGCTTGCTTTTAAACAGCCATCTTCGTGTGTGTGAGTGTACATAAGTATCCGCACGAGGTGGTTCTTTGGAAACCTCAGTGTGATATGACAGTATAATTATTTCATCTTTAAGGATGCATTTTTGTTTAAATGCAAAATGTAGCCCTGTTCGGGTTTTACTTTCTGATGTATGCTGCTGGAAAATGAATGAGACTGAGAGAAAGAGAGGGGATGCTTGCAAATGTCCAGAATTTGCATATCGATGATTGCTGTTTCTAAAGTATAAGAAGAGACTGTGGTGTGAACCTACTCCCCATTAAAGACTGCTGGTGCTGTTATTTAATCAGGACAAGGAAAATGAAGTATGGAAAATACCACACCAAATGTATGAGCCGAATCACTGTAAGAAATGTCTTAGGCACATGACCCATGAGTCAGCTCTAGAAAAGTATGATGGTGAGGCCAGAGGAAGCAAAAAAAAAAGTTAACGTGGTTCAGGGACTCCAGAGTATAGTAGTTTTGCAGACTCACAAAACTGTGATAGGTTATTTTATAGAGAAACTATCACTAATACATAGGTATAGAGAAGGAGAGAAGCAAAAAGCAAATTTGTGAGCTTCAAAAACCAGAAAGGCTGCTAGCTGTGCTTAGGACTTCAATCTTCAGTAGAGTTTGCAATTGAAACTTCATAGTTTCAAATCCCTTAGTGCCTCCTCTCCAAGTTTCTTATCCCCCGCCTCCTCACATGTACGTTGACTTTTCTTTCTTCTACTTGGTTAAAGTAAAGATAACATAGAATTTGGATTCGCAAGATCATGGTTTAAGCCCAAAGGCACTACAAATTTTGATCCTGGGTAAATTCAGCTTCAAGCCACTGTTCACTCATTTATGCAATGGACATCACAACACGTATTCTACCAGCCTTATAATACTGTCAAATCATGAGTCAGTGTTTGTGAAAGTGCTTCAGAAATTTCAGTTGCTGTTGTTGGTAACAGTGCTATCATTACATCGTACAGTGTTAGCCTTCAGAACATAGGAAAGTTACGTCAACCTAAAGGTAGTTTCTTCTGATGGTATCATCTTAGATCACCTTGGAACGTTTATCAAAATGAAGAACCAACGCTGTTGCATTGTGACTAACTAAATTCAAGGCTTCATTCCTATTTGTCAGTTTTTCTGCTATCGTCCTTTGTCTCAGAATCTCAGCTAGGGTACCAAGCCGCCCTTAGCAATCACCTCTCCTGTGCTGTGCTGGGTTCTCAGTCTTTCATTGTTTTCCATGATCCTGAGAGTTCTGAATGAGTAAGTCAGGTATTTTGTCTCTCAGTTTGGGTTTGATGTTTTCTCATGACCAGACCCCAGATCAGTCTCTAATTATGGGCTTGGGGAGTGAATACCATGGAGGTGGAACGTCATTCTCATCACGTCTTATCAGGTGGGAGAAGATATCACCATGACATCACTGATTAAAAAGTCATTACTCCTTAAGATATTTTTTGCAAGATTTCTCCACAGTAGGATTGTTTGTCCATTTCCATGCTCTATTGTTCGGAAATGAGTTACTAGTTCCTGCCCACTCTCATGAATTTAGAATTTTTGAAAGGGCAAAATAAGTGTGCAGGGGGCTCATCAACACCCCAAATATCAAATTCACCCAGAAATTCTCTCCCAGGAAAAATTCTTCCTATATCTATGTCCTTAAAAAAGTGTTCAACCATCTCCTCTTGGGACCGCATTTTTAACCCATCTTTCCAAATTCAGTCATTCTCCAAATCCTGTTCTTTTCTAACATCCCTTTCCTTTTCAATCCTTCCTGCCATGTGTGATTGGTTCAGAATTCCAACTTCCCTATGGAAAGATGACACCCAGGACTTCTTACTTTTATCTTTCTTTCATGGTTTTCTGATAGTATGGCATTCATTTCATTCTCCCTTAAAGTGACAGTAGCTATCTTCATATTTATCTCTGGACTAAATCTAGTTGACTCAAAAAATTGAGATGGCATTGGGTTTCTATTTTCCTGGTAAATACTCAGAGCACCTGTGTTGACTTTATGAGTTAGTTCTTCCAGCAGGTAGACAGAAATGCATTCTTTCTCCTACATTGAGAACCAACATAAGAAAATCCATGATTCACATACTGCAAAAAAGTGACTTTCCATGTTTTTCATTAAGTATAAAATACTCCTAACATGTGACAACTTCCCGGGTAAAGAATCTCCCTGCAATGCAGGAGACCCTGGTTACATTCCTGGGTCAGGAAGTTCCCCTGGAGAAGGGATAGGTTACCCACTCCAGTGTTCTTTGGGTTCACTGGTGGCTCAGATCGTAAAGAATCTGTCTGCAATGTGGGAGACCTGGGTTTGATCCCTGGGTTGGGAAGATCCCCTGGAGAAGAGAACAGCTACCCACTCCAGCATTCTGGCCTGGAGAACCCCATGGACAGAGGAGCCTGGTGGGCTATAGCCCATGGGGTTGCAAAGAGTCGGACACGACTAAGCGACTAAGTCCAGAACAGCACAGCAGTGTCTGACACTTGTTTTATGAGTGAGGCTTGGTTTCTGTGATTCAGTGACAATAAAATGAACATCTTTCTGACTTTGGAACACCATGCTACAGTATGTGGTTCATCTATTCATCCAACATACGTCTGTAGAGAACACAAAACAGATAGCAGGTATATGCTGAGTAGACTCAGTTCCAATCTTGTCAAAACTTTCAGTCTGGTAGAGACACATTGCCAAATAATTATACACTCATGAGTTAAATATAAAAACTGAGGTATGTGCAACTACTTCAGTGTCCTGAAAGAGATTCTCTCTAGAGGGAAGACCTCATGGAAGTGATGAGGAAGATCTTTTGACAAGGTCTTGATTTTAGAGGGGATTCTCTGTCTTTCTTTCATATCCAGCTGTCTGCATACAGCAGTCCCAGGTACCAACTCGACTCTCGTGTCTCATGGAAAACTCTTTGGGCCAAGAATTGAGAAAGCAGTGTGGAAGTAATTGCTTGAATATCCATTTCTTCAAGCCTTGGTTTCTTTGACTTTCCACACGGGTTACAAGATGATTATAAGTGAACAAAAACAGAAGGTGCATACTGACAGGAAACAAAAGTACATTAAACCATGGAGATTTCCTCTTACATAGACCTGCCATTTGTCAAGCAGTTGCTCTCTGTTCCAAAGGGAAGCTGGCAAAAACCCTGAAGCAAACACTCTCCAACAACACTGGAATAGAATAAGTGAGGGAGACGCCCTTTTAGCAACACTATAGGAGTGATGTAAAGATATAAGCCATTTTAAGAAGAGATGAAAGACCTACTCAGGGATTTATTCAAACCTGGTCACAACCATTGTGGAAAATGTTCCCCAGCCTTCCATATATGACAGTAGTATTGATGAAGGCAGAGGTGCTATTTTAATCTGAGAAAACAAACTTAATTGAATGAGTATATAGGATTCTGATTGGAATATATATTTGCATACATTTATATTTACTTATATATAATTTCCCAGTACACTATATATATACATGCATGCACATTATATGTATACTTCCTACAGTCTGTTAACATATTAGAAAAATAAAATTGTATTCTTTATAAGGTCAGAGACAGTTTTGAAGACTGAGAGCCTTTATGAGAACAAATATCTTATCACTTAAGTTTTTTGTATAGTTGCAACAGCCCTGAACTTGGGTTTGTAAGATGTTACTTTAAGCCTCCAGACTTCCCAGGTGACTCAGTGTAAAGACGCCACCTGCCAACGCAGGAGACGCAGGAAACAGGAGTTCGATCCCTGGGTCAGGAAGATCCCCTGGAGGAGGAAATGGCAGCCCACTCCAGTATTCTTGCCTGGAGAATCCCATGGACAGAGGAGCCTGGTGGGCTATAATCCATGGGGTAGCAAAGAGTCTGACAAAATTAATGCTTCATGTTACACTTCATCTTTTACTCTGTATAGCCTTCAGCCATGGGTTTTACTTGTGTTGTAATTTTTGCTTTTCTGGTAGTCTTGTCTCCAAGCTTCAACACACAGAACTGCTAAGTTTTTGTAAAGTTGTTCTAAACAATACTTTCTGGTACCGCTGTTTGCTACTGAGTTGAACTACACGAAAAATAAACTTTCTCAGCTTAGGAAATTCTTAGCTTATCTTCGCATTGTATCATTAAAATGTTTCCATAAAATTCTGTTGGCCAATTTTCTTTCAGAGTTGTTAGTTTCTCCACTTACCTAATAGAGGTAAACTAAAGTTTTTCAAATGATTCTTTTATTTAGTCAAAGTTTTTTCCCCCATTTTATGGTTGGATTATTTCAGTTCTTGATTTTCTGGGTTTAGTCATCTCATTTGCTTATTCAGTTGGAACAACTTGGATTTCATGTTTCCACTTTTCCACTTAAAACATTTTTGAAATATAAAATTAACAATAAAACTTGGTCATCAAAAAAAGTAAAGAAATACTTTGTCACAGATAAAGCTAAAAAATCGTGTATCATGAATGTAAGTAAGTTTATCAGAATTCGGTTTTCACTATTTATCAATAATAGTACAGGAACAGAAGATAAATTCTACTCCCTTAAAACTGAAGAGTCACAGTGGTTCACCAGTCTGTTTCGTAGGTTGACAAAGGCCATGAGAAGACCCTGATGCTGGGAAAGATGGAAGGCCAAAGGAAGGGGGTGACAGAAGATGAGGTGGTTGGAGGCGTCCCTGACTAAAGGAAAAAATTCCAGGAGATAGCGAAGGAGAGGGAAGCCTGGCTGGCTGCAGGCCATGGGGCTGCAGAGATGGACAGGACGTAGCCACTGAACAGCAGCGTGAAATTCGGTTCAGTTCAGTTCAGTTCAGTTCAGTCGCTCAGTCGTGTCCGACTCTTTGCGACCCCATGGACTGCAGCACGCCAGGCCTCCCTGTCCATCACCAGCTCCCGGAGTCCACCCAAACTCATGTCCATTGAGTCAGTGATGCCATCCCACCATCTCATCCTCTGTCGTCCCTTCTCCTGCCTTCAAAGGCCTTGAGGTTAGTTTCTCCAAAGAAGTCATTAAGAGCTTGAGTTTGAAAGGTCTTCCCATTCCTTGGCGTTTTAATGAGCTGTTTAGTAAACCCCAGACATGATGTCAAACCACAGAAAGACCTAAATTCTTCTGTTCTTGGATAATGTATTAATTTTTATTATAGGGATTCTGATGTATTTTCACATTTGTATAGTGGGATTTCTTTTCCCTTTCACTTCAGTGCTTTATACATGTTAGAGCGTTGGATTATTAAGTGCAACAGATATAAGAATAAGGATTATCAGATCAGACTTGGTGGAAAGTCAAGCAGTCAACATAAAGAATACCTTCATTTCTAGACCCTTTATCCCTCACAGCATTTCTAAATTAATTATTTTTATAAGAGAACTCCACACCTCCCACCCACGTCCCAGGTCACAAAACCAGAGAAGTACCTAGTACTATTGATATATTTTAGGTCTCAAGAAGCCTGTTCAGAGTTTAGACCCTAGCCCAACCCAACTGTATGTTATATTCTCTCATAAGCAGGAAACTTTTTTTTCTTGTCACTTTGGATAAAATCAAAGATTATTTAAAAATTTCCCTATGATTTAAAAGCCAGATTCCTTTAAAGACACAGTATATTCCTCACATATCTGTCCTAAGCAGACAGGCTTAAAATTGCAGGAATAAATTTATAAAAGCTAAAGAATCCTCAACATCATTAAGGAATTTCAAATCATAACCACAGTGAGATACCATTTCACTCCCACTATAACAGTAAAAAAAAAAAAAAGCTACCCACCCCGACTCCAATTCTTCACTGTCAGTCCAGTAGTTAAAACTCCATTCTTCCAATGCAAAGATTTCATCCTTGTTTGGGGAATGAAAATCCCACACTCCTCAAGGTGCAACCTAAAAGGCAGACCCCAAACCCCACAATAACCAGTTGGCGGAAAAGCAGATAATTTGGAAGTCTCATACGTTGCTGATGGGAATGTAAAATAGTACAGCCATTTTGGAGAACAGTTTGGTGTGAAGGTTTCTTAAAAAGTTAAACATAAATTTACCATGTGACCCAGAAGTTCCACTCTCAGTTATATCCACACAAGAGAAATGAAAACATAGATTCACACAAATACTTTCACATGACTGTCCTTAGCAGCATTATTTGTAGTAACCCCAAATGGGGAACAACTAATGTGTTCATCATCTGGTGAATGGATAGACCAACTGTGGCAGTCCAAGCCATAGAGCACAAATTGGCAATAAAAAGAACCAAGTGGGGATACATACTAAGGCATGAGTGAACTTCAAAAATAGCTTGCTCAGTAAAATAAGACATACTCAAGCGATCTCCTATTCCATGTTTTGATTTCTAGTAAATAGAGAGAAGAGGCAAATTTGATAGATGCAGAGAGCAGATTAGTAGTTTCCAGAAGGAAGAGGAACTGGAGGAGAGGGGGAGAAATTGGGAACTTCACTGGCGGTCCAGTGCTTAAGACTCTGCCCTTCCACCGCAGGGGGCGTGGGTTCAACCCCTGGTCAGGGAGCTAAGATCCCACTTGCTATGCAGTGCAGCCAAGTAAATTAGATTAAATTAAGATTTAAAAAAAGAAGAAGAAATGGAGATTGGCAGTAAATGTACAACTGATTCATGGTTAAGAGATGCATAACTTGGTAAATTTACTGAAAATAATCAATGAATCGTACACTTGAAAAAAGTGAATTATGTGGTATGCAAATATGTCTCAATAAAATTATTTTTTAAAAGCTAAGAGGGTTGATGTCAACATCCATGAATATTTAATCTTGTAAATATTCTTGTTAGATCCTCATACATCACCAGTAAATAGGACTTGAATTATCTCGAGTGATAAATAAAGAACATGATGGTATTAGAAATAGCAAACTAATATTCAAGCTTCAATAATTCATTCTCC